ATACTCAGTATAATCTCAAACAGGTAGCGTACCTAATGTTTTTCAATATACAGTGAATCGCAGAATAAGTTAAAACATTTGAAAAGTTATTTTCAAACGCATGCCAATAACAGTTTTTGTATATGTTTATTAATCAGAGTACTCCCCTACCTTTTCAGAGACATTTGGTTTTATATCAGTACACAAGAAAAGTTATTTTGAACTATTTGTTGTTGTTTTCTACTTGGTAACTTCCTAGAAAGTGATTTGACAATAAAAAAGCTCATAGTAACAAAATAACAGTGTAACACCAGAATCGCACAAGGTGACGGCACCTTGATGTTCTAATAGGTTTAGGTTTTCAATGACTATATAGAATTATATAGATTACACAAATTCACATCGTGATAGGGAACTTCATGTCTGTCCTCTTTCAACAGTTTCAATATTTCTATTGTTTTAATAGCATGCGCGACCTTAGGGACAGTTATGAAAAATCTTGAAATGCAGAGGGTAAACATATGTGTCCCTTGAAACAAATTCTGAGTAAAAGTTCTGATAACGGAATTAAAACAATCAAGTAAGTTGTGGAAAAGTCCACACAAAATTTATTTTACATTCACAACACGATATGACCTCGTCACATCATACATAACAAACAAAACTATAAGAATTCAGTAACATTTACTTTTTCTATATTTACAAATTTCGTACTACCTAAGTGCTGTCATTAGATCATTGGTACTATACATCTTAAAGTACAGCATCTTCAGAGTTTCCTGTTAATACTAAAAAAAAATCGTTGTGAATATTCAATAGATATGCTCTTGATGTTGAATATGCTGGCGTCATCTGTTGTTCAGATAAAAAACTCGAAGAAGATAAGAAATATATATATATATCAGTCTAATAAAATTAGAGAAGAAACCTTAAAAAAACTTGGTACGTAGAAATCAAGATATTAAAGCATGGAGAGAAAGCCATGAGGCCTACAACAGGAGATTTATTTAACTTCTGTCTGTTTTCGTTCAGTTGACCTGATGACGACAAATACTGATCAAACATTTTATACTTCTATCCGCTTGTTAAACCAGAACACTTTGGAAATGAAATAAAGTTAGTAAAATTCATTCAAGTTTGGAAGACAATAAATTTTGTAATCACGCCATGCGATTGCGTGAGAAAGGGAAGGTTCTATTTTTACGAACAAAGAAACGAGTTTCATATTCCGTAACTAATAGAAAACGTTGCTATCAACAACACTTAATTATGACGTCAATGAGTGCTTTTTGTTGTTACGAAAAATAATATTTGTATTATTGTAGAATTCAATGTTTCGTTTGTTTGAATTATTCGAAAAGAAAATTTGGATCTTCAGTATAAATAAAATTTAAAAAATAACAAATGAAACGAATCCTCTAATGAGTCAATAGAATCATGGATTTGCTTGAAAGAATTATTTGTTGACCTCTGATCTCTTGAGTTTATTGTGACACAAAAGAATAAACGAAACGAATCCTCTAATGAGTCAATAGAATCATGGATTTGCTTGAAAGAATTATTTGTTGACCTCTGATCTCTTGAGTTTATTGTGACACATAAGTATTTTAATATTCGTCTTAGTTTTGCGTCTAGAAGGTAAAATTAATTTTCAATAAATGCTTTTGATTTGAATTCCTGTATCGTTTCACAAACAATGGCTACAATAATTTAATTACGTTACAAACAATACTTCATCATAAAACTGAATATATGGTGAATTCTGGAGTAAAGTAAGTTTATGGAGCACTTACTTCAGAATCAAAATATAAACAGAGTAGAAATGTGTGTTTATGTGTGTTTTGAAGTTAAGCACAAAGCTACACAATGGGCTATCTGTGCTCTGCCCATTAAGGGTATCGAAACCCGATTCCCAGCGTTGTAAGTTCGCAGATAGAGTAGAAATAATTTATTTCCTGGACAAACAATAAGAATTAAGTATTATTTACCTAAGTGATAACAATTGCTAAGTAGCAGTTATCCGAGGAAATTAATTCAACGATGATGGATTACAAACCGCTGCTACACTAAGCCTTAGTGTATAAAGATCAAAGCTGTAATTCTACAAAAACAAAGAAATGTCAGTTAAAGTTTAATAAAACTTTATGTCGGTAAAGATTTAACACTAAAATTACCCACTGTTTTTATACTGTTCACTCCCGGTGAGGTTCACATATTGTATCATACCGAAAAATTCTGCTTTTGTGTTACGACACTCGGTGTAAAGAAATGACGATAAACGTTACGTTAAATCACTCATTTTTAACGTAAACTTCATAGCGGACCATGACAGTAATTAGTAGATTTAATTACAGTATTTATGGTATATTTTGTGTGTATGTTTCATTCGTATGTTATTAGAGGCCCTGTAACTAATGAAGTAATGGACCCGCAAGCATTTTGCTGTATTAAAAGAGTTTAGAAAAATGTAATGTGTTTAAATTAAAGCAGATGACGTCCATCCATATCGATAGTTTTAGATTTGGTTGTTGTTCAGTGCAAAATTATACAATGGGCTACCTCTGCTCTGCCCACCAAGGGTATCGAAACCCGATTTTTTAGCGTCTTCAGTCTACAGACTTATCGTTGAGAGAGGTAATTTTATGGCTCATTTGATTATCAATGGGTTATTTTATATAGATATTTCCTAAACTAAACATTATTAATTTATAATGGAAGTTAAAGGACAGTCTTATAAATTATGCACTTCATTTGATTGGCTCACACCGTTCTTGAAGTTTCTGTCAAAATTCAAACTAGTCCAACTTTGTTAGGGTTTGAAAAATAGTAGAAAAAGTAAATAAACTCTGTAAAACCTTCAAGAAATAAGTTAAGTATAATGAACATGCTTCATAGGGATAGAATGGATCAATATTTAACAATTTTATTCAAATGCGATCTGAAAAATTGTTATATTTTTATTCGTTTTAAATAAACTTTAACAAGTTCGTAAGTAGGTAAAAACGACAAAGTGATTTGTAGCAGGAAAGAGTTTATAAACATAAACGAATACTACTGGGAGTTCGAAGGACTGTAGTGGATTGTAGCAAAGAGGAATTGAGGGAGAATGGTGGTTCTTTGTCAGAAATAACTTGACGGGGGAGGGATTCGTAGTCAGAAATATATTTAAAGTAAGGGGTTCTTCTTCATTGTCGTGATTCGGTCCATATTTTGGACTAGGGAGGGTCAGGTTCAACGTTTACTTTTTCCTCCCTCTCTGGAATTGTTATTTTGTTTGCACTGTTACTGAATCCTAGGTAATAACCATTGTCCGCAGTTTTAATTAACATACCCTTCTCGTGCCATGCCCAATTTCCGGGATAATATTAACTCGTATATTTTCACAAGCTTCACTTATGTATGATCGTACTACTAGTCCGTGTTCACAATGCAGTTCCACTTAGCAGTCATACACACACACACATAATCCTATTTTTACATACAAACCCTTTTAAAATATATCTACGTTTGTGTCTAGGATTCAGTTAGCCTAGCACTGTTTGGTTTGTAAGATTCTTATTTATGATGTCTAGAGGGGAGAGATACTTAGGGCTTGGTTCATCTCTAGTTTGCTCATCAGTTCATTTTTATTAATATTTTTCTTATAATATTGAAGCGAGTTATCCAGGAGTCTGTCTAATAGGGTAAAGGGTATTTTATAATCAGAAGGAGCTTGAAACGATGGCGCGTATTTTAATCAGAAGATGTTTGAGGGAAAGGACCACTTCATGGTTGAAAGATGGTTTGGAGGTTGTAACTAAAATTAATTTAAGATGATAGGGAGGTTTGTAGCAAGGTAGAGGTTCAGAACTGAAAAGGTAATTCTGTAATTACAGCACAGATTGTGTGCATAGGATAAAGTGCTTCTTTCTATTACTACAAAATAGAAATTGTGATAAAACTATTCATCTCTTAAAATCAGGAAAAGTGTGAATAGATAACAGTAAATAACTTGCTTGAGTCAAATTATTACAAAATAAGACGTGAAGCAAGAAGCTGTTTCTTGAAATCAGCAAAAATGTGAATAGATAACAGTATAACATTTGGTTGAGCCAAATTGTTACAAAATAAGACGGGAAACAATTAGTTGTTTCTTAAAATCAGGAAAAGTGTAAACAGAAAACAGTAAATCATTTGTTTCAGCCAAATTGTCACAAAACAAGACGTGAAGCAACTAGCTGTCTCTTAAAATCAGGAAAAGTGTGAATAGGTAACAGTAAATTATTTGCACGAGCCAAATTATTATAAAATAAGACGTGAAGCAACTAGCTGTCTCTTAAAATCAGGAGAAGTGTGAATAGATAAAAGAAAATCATTTGCTTGAGCCAAACTGTTACAAATTAAGACGCGAAACAACTAGTTGTATCTTAAAATCAGGAGAAGTGTGAATAGATAAAAGAAAATAATTTGCTTGGGTCGTACCACTATATCTTGGTGACTGGCAAGGAGTCTAAGACAAACTGATGTAAGCAATCTATGTAAAGTAATATGTTCCGATAAGTTTTGTAAAGAATGCTGAAAATTATTCAAATAAACTCAACAACTAAACTATTTATTCATTTAAGTTCTTTCAGTTACCAATAAACTGTTTAGAAATGTTACTTATGATTTTATCACGAAACAATTGTTTATAAGGAAGTCAAAAATATTTAGTTGCAAAATAAAACTTGCTTATTTTGAACCTCAAAAATGCTATAATTTTACACCATGACTTATTTAGTTCAAATACGTAAGTAAAATATAAATGAAACAGAAGTAAAAACACCAAACAAACCTGAAGTGTAAAACTGTTCTTAGAATAAAGCAAATTGCAATACTTTGGAATATATTTTTTGGTTATTGATAAAATCAATAAGAAAGTTTCATTTATATAATGTCGCTCACTCAAGATTAAATATCCTAGATAAAGGAAAAATATTTAGCTTATAAATGAACTCTTATAAACATGGACTTAAAAATTAAAACATTTTTCAAAATATTTGTTTCTCAAGTGCTATCTGCTATAGCTGCTCCTAATTTTGAAGTAGCAGGCTAGAGGGAAGACGTTTAGTCAACACCACTCACCGTCAACTCTTGGGCTACTCTAAACGAATAACAGGATTTGACACACCCAGGCCCTAAAGTGTGGTAACGTGGCACAATCCACGGAATCTCAGAACCACGGTCCGATACGCTAACCAGTGGGCCAAACACAATAGACGCTTATTTCCTTTTTGGAAACATTGGAAACAAAAAACGTGTTTAGACTCTTTTATATATGTTAGTAACAATTACCAGTTTCTAATACTATTTTAGCGACATGGGACGCGGTTTTGGCATTGTGGTGGAGTTTTGGATTCGAATCCGTGGTCCGCCAGTATGCTATCAGTAAGTTTAGGGACATACAACACTAAAATCTGGTGTTCGATTCCCGACAGAGCGCTGATAGCTTACATGTAATTTTGCGCTAAAACAGAAAAATAAAAAATCGTATTCGTATGATATCATGAAATATTCTTCGTGCTGTAAACTGTGTGGGGTTCTTCATAACAGTAGAAATCAATCCCTGAGCGTAGATAGTCGGTGAGAAGGTGTTTCTGAATGTCTACCTTCCTTATGATTAGTAATTCAAAATTAGGAACGATGGCAGACAGTCTATATAACTTTGCCAAATATACAAAACACAAATACATTTAGTGACTAGCATTACAGATTAGGTAACAAGAAGCAAACTTATATTTTACTCACTAGGAGTAATTATAGAGTGTTTCCATTGACATAAAATTAGTATTGAATTAAACGTTTTAGAAAAAAAAAGGCTTGGTAGAGAAAGAGAGAGATTGCAATAATGTACTGACTATTATGCAAAAAATGCGCAACAGATGTCGCTGTTGATGAAATAAAAAATAAAATTTTAGAAATGAAACCAAAATATACGAATATTCAAATGATTTGGCGTGATGTAATAAGCCTATTGCCTTATTAGTAAATTTTATATCACAATCTGGTGAAAAAGGCACGTTGTCACAAAGAACTTTCTGATCAACAAAATATGTTTACACATTCCACACGTTTCAAATTATTCTGGTGAAGAAGTATTACACGCATTTAAAGTAATAAATAATTGAAGCATTCAGCAGTAATGCTCTACACTACCCTTCTAGTTTAAATTATTTACTGGTTTTATTGCAAACAGTAAGCAGACATAAACACTCACGCGTAAAAAAAAGAAGAAATATATTGCACTGAACATCATGATTCTTGAGAGATATTTTCTCGAGAGTGAGAGACACAGTAATATTTTTTATGAGCGATGAAACTTGGTAAGTAATTGAATGATATGTCACAAAACCTACAGTATTTGGAACCTGCCTTCTTTATTAGATCAGTCGGTGAACACTGTATCGATTTTGTGTAATTTTGGCCTTCCAGTTCTACGTTCTCTTTTCTAGTTTCTTCTTTACAGCTGGTATCACCGTCACTTAAATGAGGCTCATGTTTTACAGTCACTGAACTTTCTAAAGAACATTTGTCAAGAGACTGCGAACCGTCAGAAACTCTTCTTTTAGTTTTGGGTTGGTCAAGTAACGAACCTGACGACCCTGTCGTCAGGAACTGGTTGAGATTGTCATCTGAAAGAATCGAGTTACTAAAAACGACGCTGCTTGCTGGCTGAAGTCCCAATATTTCTCTGTGGACAAGTTTAACGTGGCGAACTACATTTCCTTTATAAGAAGAAGAGTACCCACAGAAACTGCACCAATGAAACTGGTCATTCAGTATTGTTCCATCTAGCCCACATACACGATCTTCTTCTGTCAAGGATCTCTCGTCCTTCACATTTACAGGACAATTGTTAATCTTGGGACAAGAAACACTGTAAAGTGGTGATACATGTGAACTCTTAGAAGGCGATGGACTTTGTACTCTGCTTCTGTTAGCTTTAAAGACTTTTTTAGATGATGCTGGATCAAGTGTGGTCCCATCTTCTCCAACACAAATAATGAATGTTTCTTCTGGAACTGGACTTCCTTTAGCCAGATGAATCTGAACGTGAGTCCTCATTCCGCGTAAGGTATGTCCTTTATAGCCACACACGGTACACCAAAAAGCTTTCACTCCTGTATGAGTAACTAAGTGTCGTTGTGCAGCGCTAAGAGTTGGACAAAGCACATCACAATAGGGACATTTCCTTTGGGTCACACAAGAGTGATTTTTAAAAGAGTTTTCCGTGTGATAAGAATTTTTACATTTCGAACATTTGAGATTTAGAGAGTTGGTAACAGGATCTGCTGGTAGCTCTTGTCCGTGCATGTTTTCTCGCATTGAGCAGTAGTATCTCTGGTGAGTTTGTAGGTTATCTGTAGAGGTGAAGTTGATGCCACAAGGAAGACAAATGAACTGAGAAGCGGAATGTGTAAAAGTGGAGGAGGAAGAGGAGACACAACCAATTTCTGAAACAGGGGTTGATATAGAAGGAACAGCTGGAAGATTTGGAGGGGCAACAAGACATTCAGTCTTGTCACTTTGGCTGGAAAGAATACCCTCGGTGGAGTCTTTTTGGTTTATGTTAAGTTTCTGTTGTCTCGATGCACAGTAATTGTGTTTATGTGCAACATAATTTTCATACTTATAAAACACAATATTACATTCTTTACATTCATTGCCCCTTTGCTTGACTATATTAGGAAGAACTGGTTTTAAATTTGATTCATTTGATAACATTGATGCGTATGGTATGGGTATGTCACAGGGAGAATGTAAATCTACAAAGGGCTGGGAAGCAGTAGGAGAATACTTAGCAATATTTGAAGGTGTTTTTATTGATTGAGATGATGCTCGTAGAGAAACTAAAGACCCATTAACAGTAACTGGCTCAGCAGAAGATAGAATATTTTCGTGGTTCGTGTTAGAAATTCGCAATTTGCTTTCTGCTTTCTTAATGGTTAGATCTAAAGGTTGTTCTTCGTCTCCAGTATCCATAGAAGTATCGATAGTGGAATTGTCCTCGGCATTAGGACAATTGAAAGACACTGAAGTTTTGTTATTCTTCTCTATGGGAAACTTATTTATTTCACTATCACAATTAAATACTATTCCCGTTTTGAGGTTTAAATTTGAGTTTACAACGCCATTTTGTTTACGCAACAATCCAGTGTCTAAAACATTATTTTGTGATAAAGGCATCGTAGTTAAGACGTTCGTGGCTCCACCTACAGATAACTCACTCGGAAAAGTAAGAGCATTTTCTGAAACCGTTTTAGCTGTCGGAAGCACACCAGTTTCAGTTGCAAATATGTAAGGAATTAAGATCAAAGGGTTTGTAGAAATGGCAGCGTAGAGTGGCTGATTAAACATAGAATTTCGATTAGTTGTACTGGAACATGAGGAAGGAAGTTCTAAAGCAAAAGGACCAAAACTTCCTTGTTTAGCAGAGGACAACAATGACAACGAATTTGACGGATAAGACATTGACGATGGGGAAACCAAGGTCTTTTGAACTTGTCTCGTGTTACAGTAATGAAGCTTGTGAACTATGTATGTTCGAAGGGAAGAGAACTGAATATCACATTCGGAGCAATATCGAGCAAATGGCGGAGACGGTAAAACAAGGTCTTCGTTCGTAATTGAATATTTTGACGTTGAAGGATAAGACAATACAGATATATCGTGCATACGCATGTGTCTTGTTAAGCTACTCTTTTTATCAGTCGTATATTTGCACTTGTGACATTTGTATGCACGTGAACTCTTACAAACAGTTGGGGGAACTACATTGAATTCCTTAGTTTTCTCTGATGAACCTTTCCCTACAGGATTGTCTGTTTCTTTGAGTCTTCTTTTAATAGCTAACTTATTAACATGATTCTTTTCCTGGTGTTCAATCGATCCATCTAGTTCTTTCTTCGAGTTTTCTAGAGAGGTAAATTAATACTTTTTATTAATGTTTTGCATTAATTGTACTTTCGTAATCTTGTAAATTAACGAAGATTCCTAATCATTCTATCAATTCACGAATGATAAATACTTTCATACTTCATAACTCTAATTATTCTATGAATTCGTATATGATAAATACTTTCACACTTCATAACTGTAGTTATCCTATCAGTTCATAAATCATAAATACTTTCACATTTCATAACTATAATTATTTTATGAATTCATAAATGATAAATACTTTCACACTTCATAACTGTAGTTATCCTGTCAGTTCATAAATGATAAATACTTTCACATTTCATAACTATAATTACTGTATGAATTCATCAATGACAACAATTTCACAATTCAAAACTATAATTATTCCTAATTGTTTTTCTTGCACTTCAAAACGCTCTAAGTATAACCCCACAAAACTAGAGAATTATTTTACTAAAAGTCATTAAATGGTTTCACTTAAAAAAGGGGTGAAGAAGCAAGAGAGCGATCCAATTCCAAAAACAAATACTTTGCTAGAAAATAAAGAACTTATTTTATCACATTCAAAAACTGTTTCTTTTATGAAGAATCGCTAGAACAAATAATTTTGTATCCTAAACTTCAAAGAAAGTCAAGTACCTTTATCTGCTAACATTATGAACTATTTATCATCAGAAAAATTACACGTAGAAAGTTTGGGCAAGAAAAGAGTTTGAATGTGTTTTAAATAATTTGTTTTTGAATAATGTACATGTTTGTTTTGAATTTCGCGCAAAGCTACACGAGGGCTATCTGCGCTAGCCGTCCCTAATTTAACAGTGTAAGACTAGAGGGAAGGCAGCTAGTCATCACCACCCACCGCCAACTCTTGGGCTACTCTTTTACAAACGAATAGTGGGATTGACCGTCACATTATAACACCCCCACGGCTGATAGGGCGAGCATGTTTGGTGTGACGGGGATTCGAAACCGCGACCCGCAGATTGCGAGACGAGTGCCCTAACCACCTGGCCATGCCGGGCCATGTACATGCCATTATTCACTTACATAATAATATTTTTGATCGATATTCTGTATATTATTAATTGATTCACATCCACAAACCAGAAAACGTGCACAATAAATTGAATAGGCCTACTCCTAGAGAAACAGTAGCAACTTAAAACTATGTATTTGCTTTTCACACATAATTTATTAAAAACTTTCTTTTGTCACAAAGGTATGTATTCGTATATTAATAACAGTTTTTAAAACTAAATTTATAATTTTGTTGTGGGCGGTAACTTTATGATGCATTATAGAATGTTTCCTTTTTGAAAGCCTCACTTAATCGGTCGAATCTTTAAAATAAATCATATAAAACTAAGTTTGTCAAATAACTTATAATTGAAACTGTGTGATATTTTACTAAAATACGTTTTCCTATGTATCAGGTATGACCCCTTCAGTATTGTTAAAATAAGAATAATCATTGTGTTTTTAGTGTATTTTCTGAAAAGATCTTAAAGTCAGTCTTATTGAAATGTAATTTATATTTTTGGTTTGATAAGCAACAGTAACAAAAGCTGGAAGTGAATTCTTGCCTACGTCTCGCCCCCCAG